CCTGGGGTTTGTTTAGGAAACTTGCTCTCGATTGCATGGTGTCGTTTCTCAGAAGGGAACACAGACTAACCCAGGGCCCAGGGAACTGTCACTGTTTCCAAAGAGCTCGATTCTCATATGCTGGGTAACAGGCAGCTCCCCGCCCCAGGGCCTGGGAGCTGGGAGCTGTGAGACCACCAGAGAGCACAGGGACACACAGCAGTCGCCACCCGTCTGTCTTTGTGAGAACCTCGAGAGAACATCCCAGGAAGGTCAAGCTTCTCCTCAGAAGTCCCCAGCCTCTATCTGGGAAAGGAGAGCCATCTGGGCCCCAGCAGCACAGGCAGGACCCAGGCCCCCTGTCCCCATGTTCAGTGGCCCGTCCCTGGCCACACGGGCCTCCTTGGCCAACTCAGAACCCACTGACCCCCATGTCCAGAGTGCATGAAGTTCAGGGTGCATTGGCCTCCCCGTGCTGCCAGAGATGCAGCCCCTGCACACCGAGCGGCTCCCCAAGGAGTGGGAGGGGAGCAGGGAGTGCCCATCCGTGCCCTGCCCTGCAGCCATGGTCCTGGGCAGTTTGTTGTAGTCCCTGGGGCCAGGAGCACGGCCGAGGGCACAGAGGCCTATGTTGCTGGAGGGAAAGCTGCCGTCTCCAGGAAGCTGCAGAAAAAAGGGTTAGCCCGGCTCGCGCTGGCAGCCGTCCAGGGCCCACCTGGCCTTGAAAAATGGCCACCAGGCCCGGCCACAGTCCAGCCTGTGCTGTCATCCCCATGCCACCAAGAAGACCTCCTTCCAGGAATCCGAACAGGCAGCACAAGGCCAGGGCCGCAGACCTGTGGTCCGTGACTCACGTCAGAGGAAACCAGCAAGCCAGGGTGTCTGTGCAGCCGGGCCGGAGACGGGACAGTGGGGCAGCCCTGGAGCCTGGAGCGAGCAACTCTGCATTCTCACAGGCACCCTCAGTTCACAAGCAGGGTCTAGCTTTAGATGCGCTACCTGAGGCAGGGAGCCCACCTGCACCCCCATGAGGGAAGAGGGGCTCCGGCGCCATTGGAGTGAGGATTCCTGGTTGTTCAAAGGAGGAGAGATTTCAGAGGAGAAGGGCTCACCAGAGACCAGCGACAGGGGAAATGTCATCTCCGTGAGGCTGAGGGGATGTGGGGAGGAAAGGAGTCCCCTTCTCTCCTCCCCACATCTGCTCTGCTGCCTCCTGTTCTCTGCTCCTGAGTAGAAAGTGCAAGGAGCCCTGGCCTCGGGCACGGGCATCAGCTCCCAGGCATAGGAAATGGGGGTGTCCAGTGTCAGCCGTCAGTGCCTGGCAGGAAGAGGCTCCCAGGCATCCCCGGATGGCTGATCTCAGGAGTTCTCTTTGCCAACCACTGCGTCTCCAGAGTTGCTTCTGGGTGGCAGATGGGCTTAGCAGGCCAGCAGGGGGCTCAATGTGTAGTCTCTGGATGCTGGCAGCGTGGGTTCCTGTGCCATCCTGCAGGGTCCCACATCATGCATGTGGGGTACAGGGCCGGTCCAGGACTGCAGCGGACCTGCTGAGACCCGAAGGCCAAGCAGCCCTAGGCTGCGCCTTCCAGCTGAGTCACTCCCATCCAGCGCTGTGGGCTGTGAGCTGGGACAGGATGGGGCTGAAGCAGGACAGCTAAGCCAGGCCACCCTGGCCAGCCACTCACCCAGGACCTGACACAAGCGGGATCTGGAACAGGCCAGGAGCGCCCCAGGCTGCAGCAGGACCCTCCCCAGGCTGGCCAGAGACCGACCCTCTGAAGCTGAGGAGGAAAAGGGAAGCTGAATGGCTGGTGCCTCTGTCTTCCCCTCCCTGGAAGAGGAGAATGATGCTCGCTCTCAGGAATAAGCGGGGTCCTGTGCCTGGGTCCCACGAACCATCATCCAGACTCTGTGCCAGGAAGGAAACCCGACAGCAGGAGCTGGGGTTGGAGAGGAGCCGGGACTCTGTGTTTTCAGGAACAGAGTTCCCCTAGGGGCAGGGCCTGAGGCTGTGTGGCAGAGGCTGGGCCCAGCCCCGAGCTGAGCACTACAAGCTCTGAGAAGCATGGGAGGTGGCATCATCGGGGTCAGGGGCAGAGAGGAAACGGGGCTGAGGTTCTTTGTACGTGCCCAGGACCCCTGCACTGGCCGGAAGCCTTGGGGGTCAGGCTGTGTCTTCCTGCTCCTCCCCCGCCCCTGCCCCCGAATCGCAGTTACTGTGGATTGTCCAAGCCAATCTTAGCCTCGAGTCACTGTCCTTGCAAGGCCTGTGACAGTTTAAGGCCACCGCACCCCAGCCACTGCCGCAGTGGGCGCGCAAGAACGCAGCCTGATGTCCTGTTAGCCTGCGGGGACTGAAGGCAGAGGAGCAGCTCTGCTATTTCTGGAGAACCCTACTGTGTTCTAACCGCACTCGCAAACCAGGTTTTGGGTCCCGACTGCCGTTGTGCCTGCTCTTTGGCTGCTAATGAAAAGTCAGACGTACGTAATAGTAATAATGACAGTGACAGGAAACATTTGCCGAGCACTCTGACACACCATGCCATGTGCTCTGCCTGAGACCGAACAGCTCACCAAGTCCTCCCCGTATTGGCTGCTGCCTCCCTCTGTACATGAAGAAGCTGAGGCTTAGAGACATTAAGCCACTTGCCGAAGGTTACACAGCTTGTCACCGCTGGAACTGGGATTCGAACCCAGGTAGCCAGCTGCAGAGCCTGCACTCCAGGCCGCGGAGCCCTCCCACTCTTGTGTGCCCACAGAGCACAGGCAAGCTACTCTTCGGAGGGAACACACACTTCCCTTCTTAGCTGAACAGCCACCAGATGCAGCGTCTTGGCCGCCCCAGCCTGCTGTGTCCCGGGAACCCTGGTGCCAGACTGGACCCCCTCTCCCCCGACCAGACTCTCCCCGGCACGTGTCCCCTAGTCAGGCCATTTCCCTGCCTCGCCAGCTGAGAGCCCATGTGTTCTGAGCTCAGAATGGGCCATTTCAGCACGGGGTCCAGATGCAGCTTTCTATCTGCCTGGAGAAAGACACGGAGCCTTAGAGGAGCCAGAGAAGAGAGGCTCTTAACAGAAACTTTAAAACAGGGAAAGAGAAAGCTCCCACACCTGGCCTCCTCAGTGCAGAGGAGGGCACAGCGACCCTCCCCCTGGCCACGCATGGTGTGGACGCTGTGTTCCCGCTCCTTCTCCTCCTGCTCCTCCTCCTCCTCCCGTCCTGGTTGTACTGCAGAGATGCTGGGTACCGCCCGCTCCGCTCGATGCCACTCTCCCCTCTGCACCTTAGCCGGGCAGGACTCCCCAAAGTCACCACGCTGCCTGCTGTGACACAGCGCCCAGCACACATGGCTTTGACCGCAGAACTGTCCCAACTGGCAGTTCCGGAGGTTACAAGTTTAAAGGCGAGGGCCAGGAATGTAGCTCAGCCGACAGTGCCTGCCTGGCAAGCGCAAGGTCCTAAGTTTGATTCTTGGTACCCAAAAAACAAGCTTAAAGGCGAGGCAGGGTGGCTTCTCCTGGGGAGATGTCTGTCCCAGGCCAGCATCCTGGTCTCCTGTGACAGCCAGTGGCCCTCAGCTTTCTCGGTTTGCAGTCTCATCATTCCTGTGTCAGCCTCTGACCCCACACAGTGGCCCCCACAAGTCCCTGGTCCCGTTGGGTGGAGGCACCCCACTGTAGCATCCCATCTTATAGCCCCTGCAGTGATCATTTCCAGTGCCAACACATTCTGAGGTCCTGGGGTGAGGACCCAGTGTCTCTTTGGGAGACACAACCCAGCCATGACAGTCACATCACCGTCATAGCATGGTGGCTGGTTCCATCCAGCCTGGACCTCTGGTTGTGTGGTGCCTGCCTCCTGACCCCACAGAAGTTAGAGGGACAAACCAGCCCCCCCGTCCTGGTCCTGTGGCTGCCATCACTGCCCAGGGACAGAGCAAGGCTCCCTGGGGTCCTGTGACTCTCAGCCCTGACAGGGACACCTGGGCCTCGGCTTCTCTCAGCTACGCCTGCCCAGGGACTCTGCTAACAGACAGAGGGTGCAAATGTGTCGCATATGAGACGAGAGCGTGTTGTGCCCATCCTGGAGGCAGGAAGGCTGGCTTCACTTGTCCGTGATCTCGAAGCTGGGAAGTGCAGGGCAGTGCTGGAACCTGGGCCCCTGAGCTCCGTAGCAGAGGTTGTTCCGGAAGAGCCCTGATGTCAGGTCAGGCAGGGAGGGTGGGGGGAACCGCTTGCTTGGTGCTGCCTGGTGCCATTCATGGGAGAGGCCCAGAGCAGGAGAACCCAGATACAATGCACCCAGTGGTTGCCACGCACTGGGGCACACCTGGAGCTCGGAGAGTGATGGCCGAGGTGCTCGTGTCCTTAGGCCAGGGGAGGAGATGTCCTACAGTGGACGTGGGGATCCCCTCTGAGAATATAGTAGCCATCGAGCTGTAGGCTCCAGTGGATGTCTGTCAGGTGTGCATCATGGCCTCGTGTAGAGTTAAAATCAGGCAGAGGGGAGCAGGCAGAGGGCCAAGCCTGGCACGGGGAAGAGTGAGAGGGATGAGCGGAGCTGGAAATCGTCAGGGTGGACAGGGGCCAGCAAGGAGGCAGCAGGGGAGCAGGACACAGATTCAAGGGCAGTACAGGGGCACAGGCCACAGGGCCGGGACAGAGGGTGGCACCAAGTAGCAGTGAGGGCCTGTCAGCGTCCTGCTGTGGCCCGGCATGGCTGGGCTTTCCCACGGTGGGGGCTGCTGAAAACCCAGTTGGGACCGGCCTGCTAATGGGGCGGCCTTCGGCAGATAGGATGGAACATGGGGAATGAGGCGCTACCCGGCCCGGGGCCAGTGGCCGTATGGACTCTCGGTGGTTTGCAGCTCTGTCCCTGGAAGCATAACCCACTGATTAAGCAGATCTGCTGACAGCACCCCAGCCCTGTCCAGGGGCCAGCTCCTGGGCCGAGTCCAAGACACTGGGGAGCACCAAGTGGCCACTGTCCACTGACTGCTTCTGTGTTCTCGTCCTCCTCAGCGAGCCTTCAACGCCCTGTGTCACAGCACTCACTTGTACGGCCGGAGGCTGGTCCTGGAGTGGGCGGACTCCGAGGTGACCCTGCAGGCCCTGCGACGGAAGACAGCTGAGCACTTCCACGGTAGGAGCAGTGCGGGAACCGTCCTGGGTGACTTGCGAGAGGCCGATGGCCAGGGACCCCCGAGAACTGCCCAGAGTGCCCCAGACTGGTCCCGTACTGGGTACCTTCCTCCCACTCGGTGCAGCAGGTGGCCAGGTCACCTGGAGCCATGAGAGCCGTGTTTAGCCCCATGCTCACTCCTGCCAGGTTTCTGGGCCGGGACTCCAGCTCCTGGTCCCCCCACCCATGGTAGGACAGTCTCTATCTGTCCAGCCCCAGGGCTATGCTCTTGCTGCCCGGGCGCTGGGCTCCCGGGCTTGGCTCCAACCAACCCGGATGACTGTTCACTCAGGGACTGGAAGATCTTGAGCATCTGCTGGGTCCTCGTGTTGGGGCTGCCGCCTCACCAAGCTGGCTGTGGGCACAGGTTCGAGGAGGAGAAGGAGGGTGCAAGGGCCTCTGCGTCCCTGGGGTGCGGGCTGGCTGGGCCAGTGGAGGATCCTGTGGAGCAGGGAGCCTTAGAGCCACGGAGAGTGGCAAATAACCCCAGAGAAGTCAGCAGGTGCCATGGCCCCATCTTAGCACGGTGTGTACAGGTTCTCTAGGAAGGGGTGAACCCCGGAACAGTGCCACTCTGGGCACAGGGAAGGCAGGCAGGTGTCCCTTGCTGTCCCCAACACCTGTGACTTGGCCAGAGCCTCTTAGACTCCCTTGTACTGTATTCCAGCCAGGGGACAGAGGGGCTGTGACAGACATTGCCAAATAGGGAGAGCGGGGCTCTGGGACGGGCTCTGGTCACCCGTGTGCCGAGCCCTCGGCACCCTCTGCCGTATTCCCCCCCCACCCCGGGAGCTGCAGACAGTGCAGGTCTCCTCACAGATGACCGGGACCTTCTTATCACAGGGAAAGGGCACCAGCCAGGGGGACAAGAGACCTGTGATCCATTCTGGACAGCAAGGTGTCACCTGGAGCTGTCTGCCCCCAGGCCCCCCTCACACTCCCTTCCGCAAGGCGGAGAGAGCCTCACCTGGGGTCTGAGGCCAGCTCCCAGCCAGGCCCGCCCTCCCTGCTTGCTCCCGCCAGCTTGGTCATTTGGGGGGCTACACATGGTTCATCTGTGTCCCCGTGTCCAGCACAGTCTGACACCACATGTGTCAGGCCCTCCGCCCACAGCTGGGAGCAGCTGTGGCAGGGCAAACACAAAACCAGAAGAGCACAGGCCAATACACAGCCGCAAGCCCAACACTCAGTCTGTCCCCAAACCCTGGTGCGCAGAAGGAGAAGCCGTCCGTATTGACAGGCATTGACAGCCCCAAACACCCCATCGGCAAATGTTTGTGTAAGGGCTCTCCCTGGAGCGCGCTCAGCACTTCTGCCCCGGTGGAGAGGGCCCCTCGATCCATCCAGCTCCACAGACAGCGTGAGAGGACCGGCCTGGAGCCTGTCTGTCTGCAGCCTGGGTAGCTGGGTTCCCTAGGGGAGCAGCATTAAGGTCCCCTGTGCCTGTGACCCCTGGGCTGTCCAGAACAGACCTCGGGCCTCCTGCCCTCCCAGCCGGGCCAGGCCTCTTTCCTCCGTGCCCTTTCCCTGTGGTGAAAACTACCCAGCTCATTTGTGTGGAAATCCGCATTGTTCACAGCTCCCCGGGCCCTGGCAGATGCTGAGAGCGGTGGGATCCGTGCCCAGCGACCTCGGCTCTGGCTCTGGCCTGATCTCTGCCAAGAAGGCACTCAGGTCTCAGGCGGAGGCCCCCGAGCAGTGAGCACAACAAAGGACCCCTGTGGCACAGGCCGTGGCAGGAAGGCAGCGTCTCCGCCTTCTCGGGCTGGCAGCAAGCTTGCGGCGTCCCTGCGGCCTGAGAGACATTCTTGGGGACAGCGAGGGCAGCCAAGCAGGTAGGCAGAGGCCGGCGTGGCTGCCCTGCCCCTGGAAGGGCTGATCCCGAAGCCACCACCGAGACAGGTGGCAGGGACCCTGAGGAGCCTCGTGGAGCCCTGACCCAGCGTCACCCAGCAGGCCACGGTCGGGCTCTCACGGTCTGAATCCTGCGGAATCTTGTGGGGGAGCAGGGAGGGAATACCATCATTGTCCTGGTTTAACTGCTGAGGAAAGGGATGCAGAGAGGCAGGCAGCTTGCTCAGGGGACCCAGCCACTAACAGCAGCGTCAGGACTCACCCCAGGTGTGGGCCATTCCGCTGGCGGTGTGCCCAGCTGCCTGCCCACATGTGTGGCCGCCGCCTCTCCGACTTCGTCACCCGTGCAGTGGGTGCCGGGTCCCACCTCCCTAGGAGGCTCCAAAGCCTGTGAAGGAGGTGGCAAGAGTGAGCCTCGGGGTACATGTGGCAGTCGTGGTCTTGGTGTTGCCCCCAAGGCACTAGTTCTGCGTCCTGCCCTGGGCTGCCAAGAGCTCTCCGAACCCTGCCCTGAAGAAGACAGGGAGGAGCCCGGTATTCACAAGCTGGGCCAGGGTGTGCATGTGTGTGCATCTGGTTTCAGATGCCACCTCTCTCTCCTGCCTCTCAAGCCAGCAGCACAGAGCCTGGCACACCGTAGGAGTTTAATTAATGCACTGCGGTGAGGAGGAAGGGGCGGGGAGGGAGTTCGGTGCTGCCAGTGCCACCGCTGCGCCCTGCTCTGCCCCAGGCTGCGTCAGGCGGCCCAGAGGCACCAGTTGGAGCCCCGCTCCTCCTGCCCTGCCCGGGCGGCTTCCTCACCCTGTCCTGGACAGCGGCACCATCCTGGCTTCCTGTGCAGGTCTGAGCTCAGAAGCACCTGTCAAATTGAGCAGCGGAGGGCGGGTCACCGAACATCCTTGTGAAAGTCACTAGGCAGGCAGGCCCTTGACACCGGCAGAGACAGACCTTGTCCCCCAGCGCGCTCTGGCTTCTCCCGGCCAGTCCTCCTCCCTCCCACCTCCCTCCCCACTCCTCCGCAGCCCTGTAGTAGGTGAGGTGCTGTTCTCTGGCGCCGCATGTGGGGAGTGTGAACAGAGCACGTGCGGAGGGAGGAAAGACGCCAGTCCGCCACTGGCTGCGTCCCTTTCTTCCCGAGTGTGTTACAAAGCAGCAGGGTCGCGGGACTGAGAAGCTTTCAGGGCCCTGCAGGCTGTGGTGCCTGTGTGCGCAGCCGGGGAACATAATGGCTCGGGAGAAATCCGCCCGCACAGCCTCTGTCTTAAGCGCTCACAGCCAGGGAGGCCGGCAAACAGGCTTTTATTTGGCCGGGAGCACAGCTCTGCTTCCTCGTGTTGTCTTACTCCAGCTGGGGAGGACTGATGGGCTGTGGTTAGCGCCCGTACCTTTCACCTCCGGAGCCGGGCGCCCAGACATGACCGGAATGGCAAGTGGCTGGAGATGGCGCCGTCCTCCGCCCGCCCATGTCCAGATCCGGGAGCGGCAGAGAAGCTCGCCTCGCACAGACGGGGCCGTCCTGGTCACCCGCTGGCCACAGGCACGAGCAGACACCCAGCGTGGAGAGCGGAGAAGGAGCCCGAAGGCCCACGCCCCTGTCCAGCTGCCCAGCCCTCCGTTCCTCCAGGGAGGGCTTGGCCGGCGCCTGAGACAGGACCTCCTCTTGCCATGCCCTTTTGATTCCCATGCCACACCCCACATCCACCCATCAGAGGAGTCGGGGCTCTGTTACGTGTCCATACACAGTTAAGAGCCTTCATCCTTAAACCAGATCCTCTAGGAACAAGGTCCCCCTTCTCCCCAGCACACCCTGCATGGAGCAGAGAGAGAGCAGGTGCTCGGCGACAGTGGGGGAGGAGATGAGCAGCAGGGGGAGCCCAGTCACGGGCGGCTGGTATTAGTTGAGCATCTAGTATGTCCTGAGCACTGGGTGAGTGCTGGCAGCAGTCACCATCACAGCGGGGCCCAGCAAGGGTTAGGAAGAGGCACAGCCCGCACTGGGTCTGCTGACCTGGAAAGAGGCCATAATCTCCGAGTGAAGACTCAGCCAGGCAGGGGGAAAGGAGGGGACTTCCTAGGATGAGGATTGTCTGTGTTTTTAAGAAGCGAATCTGAGACCCAAGGAGGGGCACCACCCAGCCCGCTGACACACAGCTCAGCCCCTGCAGGACCAGAGGACCCTGCTCCATCTCGCCCTGCATCCCCCGCAGCTCTGCATCCCAGCTCCATGACATCCTCACTTCTGTTCCACCTGGAGCAGCAGCTGCAGAGCTTGGCCCTGGTCTGTTCCTACCAATAAAGTTTTATTGGAACAGAGCCGTTGCCCATGGCCGTCTGTTTACACAGGGCCTGCGGCTGCAGAGGCAGGATGTGACAGACCCTGTAGCCCCAAACCTGGAACATCTACCCCCTGGCCCTGCACAGAACCAAAGTGCAGCCCCTCCACCCTGTGGAGGAATCACCCCAGATGGCTGATTCCTCCCACCACAGCAATTCTGGAGTGTTCTACAGAGGGAGAGGGGGAATTTCCAACATGCTAGTTGCATGAAGTCTCTCCAAGGAGTCAGCATTTATGTGTTACTTGAGGGAAGCAGCCGAAGCATCCCACATAGAGGGAACAGCCGGTGCAAAGGCCCTGGGGCTTGAGCTCATTCAAAGCAGGTCTTGGCAGGTAAAGAACAGATCCAGGGGGAAGAACAGTAGAAGCCAGGCTGAAGGGGCCAGCAGGGCTTTATGCTCAGGGCTGTGGGATTTGTCTAGCCTGGTGGGAAGGCTGGTGTTCTTTCAAGATGGACAAGAAGGTACTGGAAGGAGTAAGGAGGGGAGCACCAAGGCTAGATGGATCCTGGCAGAACTCATGTCTGCTGCTGCGTGGGTTTTGCGGGGGTTAGCGGGCCCCTTGTCACCACCTGGACACACCAGGTCAGTGTTGCCAGGCACGGGCTCGGGGTGGAGAGGTCTCAGGAAAGGTGGATCCCCCCAGACTTGCTTCTGGTGGGCAGAGAGAAAGCTTGGACAGTGGGCTCCGGAGATGGGACACGCTGGTGTCGAGGCATCCATCAGGACAGCCGTGGTGTCAGGCAGGGAGATCTATGAGTTCTGAGCTCAGG